AGCAAGCAATTTCCTTCCATTCTGACACACCACGTTGCCACTTCACAGATCAATGCAAACCACAAAAGGACACAGCTTACCTTTACTGAAAAGATCGAATCAAATATGTTCTCTGTTACAGTGTCTTTGCCATGTGTTAAGGGGTAAATAATATGAGAACAGCTTTATATTCACTCACCAATGCCATGTGGTGGGTCTGAGAACTCTATACCTACTGACCTGATTGCCTTGAAATTTGGAAAGAATAATTATGCTACTGAGGAAATTATTTCTAAAGATTTTGATGATCTTCTGAACTTTCCTCTAGCAACATAATCAATTTCCCAAACAAAACAATGGTCCATGACAAGGCAAGGAATCTGAAAAACTAATCGCTGGATTTCCATGAAATGTGCTGTGAATATTAGTGGTCCCCAGGGAATGAATCCTACAATACCTGTGTCCAACTATGACCCTGTAAACTTTTCCCTAGCGCTACAATCTGGCCAAAATGTCCTCTTGTGCACAAGACATCTCATAATCTATTAGACAGATTGCCATGAAATTGTCTCCCAAGGGGATAACCAATTTTTATTCTAGTGTTTCAATGGTCTCTTAATAGTGCCAACCTCTGGAAAAACCTTTATAACAATAAAGAAATTAAACATTTTATCCACACTACTAGTTGAACACTGTGTTGCAAGCCCATACTGTACTATATACGATCTGTATATTGTGTACTATTTGATGGCGATTAATGCTAGAAATTGCAAATTGCTTCCTTATTGAATAACCACAACATTTGAGCTACAAAATCTTGAATGCAAAGATTCTTTTACCACACTGATTGTGTTGAGTGCTCAAATGATGTTTGCAAAGTTAAGTAAGTAATGGTAGCTCTGAGCTAATGTTACCTTGAAGAACCAGTGTGTAGGATTTAGTGGCATCTAATGGTCAAGTTGCAACCAACTGAAAACTGCCTTCCAAGAATGTAGGAGAAACTATGGTGGCTGCAAAATCTGCAAAAAAAAGAAGGCCCTGTCTACAGCCAGTGTTTGGTTTGTCCATTCTGGGCTACTGTAGAAACAAAATGGTTCAAAATGGAAGCAGACCAGCTCCATCTGTAAATATAAACAGCTCATTCTAAGGTAACAAAAACATAATGATTCTCATTTTCAGGTGATAATACTCTAATGAAAACATACCTTTGAATATTATATTCTATTTCTGCCAGTAGGTCATCATAAATGTTACACAGTGAACCTTTAAGCCACACGGTAACTGGCCATAGAATAATAGGGTTAGCCTTAGTTTTGTGTTCTTTGTGCAGTCTCAAACAAACGGCTAAATCGCCATTTGAGTTTTGATTTTGCCGCTTAGAACTGGTATGTAATCTTGAATTGGGACACAATTTATGAAAAGCTAAATCATCAGTGTGTAGTTCCTTGTTGTCTTGAACATTGTAACATGTCACAGACATTGCAGCCTTTAGGGACTGCTAGTAAGGATTTAGATTCTTAAATTACATTCTTGTTAAATTACATTTTATATCATATCAATAATTAACTACTTTTAGGGGTGAAATTTTATAGGCTTCTCAGTTTAGTAGCTATTATATTCCTTATTTCTCAACATGACAAGCTACTGTAGAGCTTCTTTCTATGAATAGAAGCCATATCATCTCTCATCTCTATTTCTGCTCACCTCTTAAATTTAGCATCAGGTTCTTTTGATATTAATCTACTGTACGAGTGACTCTTTATCTTTTGTCAGATTTTGACATTTGTAATCAATAACCTCAGACAATGCAATGACTTATGGATGTTCTCGGCTTCTGTCCACTGCTGAGCTTTTAACAAGTTATTCAAGATTTGTTTTTCTGCCCCATGCCACATTATAATCTGAGTTTAAATACAGCCTCGAGTAGATGAACCTCAGCAAAAGAATCCTTGAGTGTGACCTGGTGTTGAAGGTGCATAGTCACTGCCCAGAATGAAAACAATAAGGAAATATTTGCGAGCCATTAGCTGTGTTTACATGCTCAGAGTAACTTAGCTGCTGGCATCACTCCAGTTAAGGTCTTATTCAGGTTAAGCTGTTTATGTGAACTTTTGATACTCTGTTATGCAGTGTTTCTCATGCCATGAATAAACCAATGAACACAATATTCCCCTCGTTCTTTCAGACTCAATGATTACTGAGCTCAGCCTTTATACAAGAGATCCTAGTAGTAACAATATGCACAGTGTAACGCACTAATGTGGCGTTGCTGGAATGAAAATGTTGCCTAAATGCATCTGCCTGTGCTTGTGCAAGAAGCACAAGTGAATGCATGTTTATATATTTCATAAATCAATTTATTGATGTTGACAAAATAATCTTAACACAAGATCCATATAGTAGCTGTTCTGAATCTTTCGGCCTTGTCACATAATCTTCACAAACAGATTGAGTTGTCATGGAATTGTAGATGTTAAACTTTCCATTTTTTTCACGAGCACATAGGTTCTTGCTGGCCTAAAAGCTCATTCTTGACGTTGCAAGTTTACCTGATGAAGATCGAATGTAGATAATGTAAATGGACTTTGTGGTGAGATTATTTTGTCAACTGCTGTTAGCAAGATGGCTATACGTTCCTGCTCTACACCGCCAATAAATGTCCATCTTAAACCTGTGTTAACGGATTATTTTGCTATGGGGACTGCGTAACAAGCTGTAAACACAACATTGACTTATCTTTACCTGCTAAAGTTGATATGGCTAACGTGTTAGCCTATTTACTAGGGGTACTAAGAAAATATCGTATTGCGATATTTTTTTGTGATATTGCGGATCTCACTGTTAATTTTCTTTAGCTCAGATTTTATTCATGCGGTGGTGTGTTCCTTATACCATGACAGTTTCTCCGAAACTGGATTTTTAAAAAATTAAATTGCAATATATAGAATCGGAACACCTGTATCGTGATACGTATCGTATTGCCAGATTCTCACCATTACACTGTCCTAACATTTACACATCAAGCAACATCAGCATTCATTCAGAGTTGTATTTCTTGCCAACTGATGAATATTAGTCTAATATTCAGTCTCCTTTTAATTCTGGTTTGGTCTCCACCAACTCCTGAGAGGAATATCTGTCTCATTAGCTGCTGAATGCTCTGCTATGTTCACTAGCTAGTTGCTAACATTGTCTGACATTTGGTGCTGGACAGGTAATAATGTAGTGGTTTCATCACATATTTTACTGGAAACTGCTGTCTGCTGCAGCTGGAAACCACACTGATGAGAGCAGTTAGACTGAACTAAAACAGTCAAATTGTGGCCTGTAAAACCAGAACAATAAGCTTAAAGATGCACCTGCCATGGATGATTTTACTTTCATTGATCATTTCAGTATTGAGTGTGTGACTTGTTTGTTTTTTTTTTGTTTTGTTTTTCTATAGAAATGTCACTGATTATTAGTTAAAAAATTGGAAACCCATGATTTTCCATAGTCTTCTCCTGTTTTGTCCCCCAGGGTTGCTGATTCTCTTTATGCTGTAGAACACATTCCCTCAGCAAAACCTAATAAGGCCTGACAGCCACTCCAATCATGTCTCACCCTCACCTGTCCTGACTGTTGGCAGTCGATGGGAAGCTTTAAAAGTAAAGTAAAGTCCTCACTGTATCTAAATTCTTCAGGGAGGCTTTCTAAAATCTTAAAGGAGGCTGTTTCCTTCAAAATATTGCAGCACACTGTATTATATTGCTGTAATCATAGGAATTTGTATGCATCAGCAAAATGTATTCTTCTTGTTAATCTTCATATGTCACCTCAGTGGCTTTGGTTGCTTTTACAATATAAAGTTCAAATTTAATTGCTAATTGCAGTGTCTTTTTTAAAATTAAGTATCATTTTAAAGGTTAAATAAATACAAAACAGTGCAGCTTTCATACTATATTCTTGCAGCAACACACAGAAATGTCACCATAATGAAGGAAATAAAGTTTAGGGTCGTCCCCTAATCGGAAGGTTGTTGGTTCGATCCCTGGCTCATGCCACATGTCTAAGTATTCTTGAGTAAGATACTGAACCCCATGTGTGAATATGTATGAATGCATTAGTTTCTGTTCGGCTTTGCCATCACTGAGTGAATGTGTGTGAAAGGGTGAATGTGCTTTGAGTGGTCGGAAGACTAGAAAGGCGCTATATACAAGTACAGGTCCATTTACCATTCACATTCTTTCAGCATTCAAACGATTACCTTTAATAGTACACTGTAATCCCGAACAGTTCTACTAGCTCAAAACTAATGAGGTCATAATAGTCAAATGTCGTTATGCAGTTGACCAAACTATAAAGTTTTGAGCTCTGTTGAGATTTATGCCACTTTAATTGAATAGGGCTCAATATTTTATAGCTAATTTGTGTGGAACGCTCAAAAAGTTTAGGAACCATACAGTAGTGTTGTTCTGGTGGGTGGGTCTTATCTCTCCCTCAGGAAAGCTGAGTCAGCCATCTTGAATTTGCCTTGATGCGGAGAAGTTCTGGCCAGCCCGTGTGGGATGTGGAACACAGTTTAATTTGTTTTTATTTGTTTTTATTTGTTTTTATTTGTTTTTATATGTTTGCAATGCGCACTTTTATCCCCCTGCTTCAAACCACCACCACCTCAGTTTTTTTCATGAGTCTTATTGCCCTCATTTTCTTAAGCGCCGTCTTATCATCAGCCCTGATTTGGTAAGTAATGCTAACGTTTTTTTTTTGTTTGTATTTTTTTTAAATTGAATTTTTGATAAATAGTCTTAAATTTGGAACTGGGAATACATTTGTACAATGTGCACAGTGAATATTTGTTGTAAATAGTTTACAAATCAAAGTAATTGTAACTTTAGAAGTTGTTGAATGTAACAAATACGTTAATTACGTTACTTCATCTTACAACGGTGTAACGTTATCAGCGGGTTTCCTGGATGAACTACATTTCCCATAATGCATGTTTGCCCGGGACATTGACGGTTAGGGTTTCTCTGGCGGAGGCCGAAAGCATAACGGTATCCCTGCTTTCCGGTTTCTGCCGGTTGTTGTTTTCGCTGTTCGCACGTGCGTACTGTGAGTATACTTATTTCAAATGTCCGCGTTACACAGTCAATATTTTACGTTGTCGAGCTGTGTGTATGTGTGTGCTAGCGTGAAACGAACAATGCTAAATAACATAATGTGAGTGTGTTATCGTGATGCTAACAGGCCTGTGTTTGTATTCGTAGGCTCAAGTGAGATCATCTCGAAATCCTTTTAACAGTTCAGGTAGGATGTATTATGAAATGGTGTTATTAACAATTTGTTTTATTTTATGTGTTTCCACAGTCATTCTTTTGCTATTTCTTTAAATGTTTTTATATCAACTGTGGACAAAATTCACTTGAACCCTTTATTAATACTTTGTTAAAAACAAAAACATCAACAACAGAAATAGCAGATCTTTTAGCACACAACTTTGATGCTTTGCTTGTTAATAACTAACTTGCTCATCTTTTAACATTTAAATATTTACTTTAATTAGTGTACAGTGAATGTTTTTGATAGATTTGGAACCTTTTTTATCTGTATATTCACTTTTTTAAATTTCATTTATCATAATGTATTATTTTAAAAATGTTTTTGAACATTAACAAATCATCTTTGTGCGCATGTTGTGGACAGATATCGGACTACAAAGAGTGCTACAGAGAGTCAGCGTTTCACCATCAGACAGGTGCCAATAGGTGAGTTTTGTAAAATGTGTACTAATTTGAATTTAAAAAAAACTTGAGATTTTTGCCCTGAATTATTCACAATGTTTAGATTTTTTGCAGCAGAACAGACTTAATCAAATTACTGATGTGTTGTCAACTGGTTGGCATAATCATTTTCCCCCTCATTCAAAATTTTACACACATTTTAACTTGTACAAATTACATTTTTGAATAGCCAAAAGTGCAAGACAGGGCTGAAATGGTTTAGACTTTAATTGAAAATATTTAAATTGCAGGCTGAAGTTGGCCCAATGGAGTGGAAGTGCAAGTTGTGTTCTGCAACTTCAAATACCCGGGGACAATTATTTTGGCACTATACTGTACTGCATAGCCAATATTCAAGAGTGTCCCCCCTGCCATGTCTCTATGACAGTTGCATTTGTACTTTTCCATCATTCGAAGCGATGAAACGTCATCTGTCAAGATCTCATAATGATTCATGTAGAGTAGATGCAACTGAAGGAGCATGTGTTTTTTTTACATGTCCTTTGTGTAACTTAAAGCAGCCCTTTTCTGAGGAAATTCTATTTGGTCATTTGAGAAGTCATTTACGAAGTCATGAGATGGTAGCATGCCCATTCAAGAACTGTAATTACAGAACAAATAGCTACTCAGCGTTTAATGCACACAAAAGTAGAAAACATGGTGTTGATTCAGACTTTGGTGAATGTGTTGTATTGGCAGACAATGATAGTGCCCCAGTTGTTGTTGTTGCAGCAGAAAGTCTTGGGGAACCTGCTGAAAGTCACAGTGCAGGGTCTGCAGACACATTTGATCTTGATGAGGTAAACAGTCAGTTTGACACAGACACTTTAAGAGCCCAGTTGAACCATAACTTCATCATTATTCTTAAAGATGCAATCTATTCTTCATGTATCTGACATGGCATCTCAGGAAATAGTGGAACATTTGACTCAGATATTTTCCTGGTCCCAACCGATACTCAAACATGACATTAGAGAGGTCTTACAGAGTCATGACATCACTATCAGTGAAACACTTCTAAATGAGGTTGTCAGTACTGTTATGGACAGTAATGTTATTGTCAGTGCCACAGCTAAGGGGAAGCAGTTATCCTCAACCAAGAGAAGGAAAACCTTCATCGAAAATAATTACCCTGTGGTAAAGCCTGTACAGTATCTGCTACAGCCAGGACACACAGCAGTGCATGTTCCCATTCTTGAGATGATACAAAAAATCATACAGATATTCTGGACAAAATTAAAGAAACAAAAGTGGCACAAAACAGTCATTATGTAAGCCACCAAGATGGTTTGTATTTCAAAGAGAACACATTCTTGTCTTCAGATGAGTTACAGATAACACTCATTTTGTACATTGATGATTTGGAAATAGCCAATCCACTTGGCACATCACGCAAAATACACAAAATCTGTTCACTATACTGGACGCTTGCTGATCTTCCCAGTAAATACCGATCAGCCCTGCATGTGATTCAGCTTGCAGCTTTATGTAAAGTGGCTGACATGCAGACATTTGGCTATGAAAAAGCACTTGGTCCTTTGTTGAGAGACCTCCGTACCCTTGAACAAGATGGGGTATTCATTGAGTCTATTGGTAAGGTAGTTCAAGGAACAGTCATGTGTGTGGTGTCTGACAATCTTGCAGCCCATGATTTGGCAGGCTTTTCAAAGTCTTTTAGAGCAGAATATTTTTGCAGATTCTGCACAGCAACACAAGCTAAACTTCAGACTCATGAAGTTGCAAGTGGTGAGTTCAGTCTTAGGACAAAAGACAGCCATAATAGTGATGTGCATGCTGTAATGCATGGGGATAGTCAGAGTCAGAATGGTGTTCAGGCAGATTGTGTCCTGAGCCAACATCTAGAGCATTTTCATACTATCACTGGCTTTCCACCTGATGCCCTCCACGATCTTTTTGAGGGCATTGTGCCCGTAGAGCTCGCACTGTGTATCGGAGAGATGATCCGTCGCAAATACTTCGCCCTTGAATATTTGAACAACAGAATTCTGTCTCCCTTTGATTATTGGGAATGCAGTTCCCGAAGAGGATGGAGCATGGACTGTGCTAATGGACTTAAAAGAGGTGGTAGAGTTATCGCTGTGCTCAGAATTCACAGAGGAGTCCATCTAGTATTTACAGTCCAAGATACAGGATCATAGAGAAATGCTGAAAGAAGCCTTTCCAGATTTCAAACTCCGTCCTAAGTATCACTACATTGAACACTATCCTGACCTTGTACGCCGTTTTGGGCCCCTTGTACACTTGTGGACAATGAGGTTTGAGGGTAAACACCGTTTTTTCAAGAGAGTTTTACACGACACACAAAACTTTAAAAATGTGTTAAAAACACTTGCAGACAGGCATCAATACATGGTAGCATACCATCTCAGTGCCTCAGGATTCTTCAAACCTCACCAGCAGACATCAAATGTGTCTTCTGTACTGGTATCAATGCTTCCAAATGTTGCCAAGACATACATTGAACAAATAACAGCAAGCAATGTTATTTACAGCACATCAAAGGTCTGCATTGATGGAACTGATTATGATGTAGGAATGTTTTTGTCTGTGGGACAAGAGGGAGGACTGCCTTATTACTGTAGAATTGAACAGGTTCTCCTGGTTAACAGTAGTGTTGTCTTTCTTTGCCAAGAGCGCACATCACACTACATTGAACACCTGAGATCTTATGAACTTTCCCCAAACAATCTGGCTGTTCACACCCCATCAGAGCTAAATGAAAAAACACCTCCCTGCGCTTACAACATAGATGGAAGATTGCTCTTGACACCTAAACGTTTCATATTATTACACTGAAGATTTGTTGAAGCACGTTAACAGCTGACTGCAACATTCTCTTGGAGCTTTGCGGACCAGTGGGTCCATGAATAAACTGCCCCACTCCAGCAGCTGGCCTTTTATACATCCCATCGTTCAAGTGGTGTCCCAGTGTTTGTGTGGACCAGTGGGTATGTGGACATGTATATGTTATGTGTGTCACCTTCACTCTCCATAAAAATGAACGCGTTTTTGTCTTTTAGGAACCAAAAGATGGCTGCTGCCCAGAAGCATGTGCTGCGTGTGTATGTTGCACGAGAACACCGTCCTGAAGCTTACTCTACTTGAGCGACCAAAGTCAGTGGAGGAGCTGAAAGAAATAATGCAAGAGAGGTTCAAGCCGAGACTGGATGGGGACTTTAGCCTGCACTATGGGGATCCGGACTTTGATGGTGATCTTTGTCTTCTTGTGGACATCCAGGAGAAGGGCACATTGAGAGTCGTCAGACCTGAAGGTGACACCTCATCTACTGCATCTTCTGACACAGACCTACTCCCACATGTACCTGCGTTACAGCGCCAGAAGAGTTGGCCTGATCACTTTGTTGTTCCTGGTTTTGGTTATGAAATCGAGCATATACTAGAAGAAGGAAATCGTGTTTATGAAGAATCAGGACAATTGCTGAAGTTAAAGAGGTCACAGAAATCCTTAAAAAAATGGCAGAAACAATCTACAGTTTTAAACCATACCCACATGAAAAGGAATTGGCAATGGCTGCTCAAGCTTTGATTACAGCTCATCCATGTCTCAGAATGACGGCTAGTGAAGATGGGGAGTTGGGATGGAAACGTCACATAGGGTACAAGGTTGTCTTACCGTCACAATCTGGCCAAAGCTGGGGTTGCAGAAGTAGCCGTCAACATAGGGAAGTGGAGCCGAAACAACCCTGACAATGATCACCCCCATCAAAACATAAAGAAAGCTTGAAAAGCTGAGGTCAACTACCTCATCAACCTACTGAAGGATCAAACCCCAGCCACTCTGGAAACATTGAGAGAAGAAAACATACATGAAGTCGAAAAGACTGAGCAAAACCAATTAGTCATAGGCAAGCTCATGAACACAACCTATGCCCTTTGTCGCCAAGAAATCGTTGGAGCTCTTGTAGCTCCTCAGGTGAGAGACGTCGTGGACAGATGGCCAGCCCTACTTATGGAGTCACAGGTAAAAAAATAAATAAAAAATCTTTTATTTTTTTACTGTTCTCCCTGTTGAGACCAATTAATCAATATGACTTTAGTATGCCCACTTTGAACATGATTGATTTTTCCAATATTTAAATGACTGTTTTAAAAATTACATTTTCAAAAAATTCACCAAAAAGCAAATGGCAGATGTAAAAGTTGACAACACATCACGCTGTGACATATTTTTGCCAATCACTGTAAACAAAGTATACAGAGGTTTATTATTTTAATTTCCTTTAGATAACATTATACAGCCTGTTTTAAATTAAAGAAAATGAACTTTCTATTTTGACCTTGGTTCTGACTCATCCCTAATAGAATTGCACTTGGTTTTGCTACCTGCCAACTGAAAACTTCTTAAAATACATTCACAATTCTGTTCCTCATTCATCTTTGTACATTTCTGCGTAATTCTGTCCATGTACAGGTGTTTGCAGAGTTCCACCGAATCAACAACGTTAACCTGCGCAATCAATTCTACAAGGAGCTGGACAGACACACGCCTAAACTCATCACCTTGTTCAGAGACAAGGCCACCAAGACTGGCAAGATAGCGGAGGAGCTAGCCAAGCTCATGAGGATTTATGACCTTCAGGTGAATTTTTAACTTTGCATGACTCAGAAACAGATTATTAACAGATTGTTTGCAGACAACTGTAAGAAGCCATAGTGTGAATTGCCTCGACTGTGCCCCGAGGTTAAGTGATTATGCCATGAACACAACATTGTCATCTCATCAGAGATAAACGTCTTCACAAGATATATTCTTAAAAAGATACTTTATCAGCTTCAGTTTGTAGTAGTAGTCCAAATAACTACTGTTTTTTTGTTTCTTTACTAAAGTTTTTTCCTTTGTGAGTTATTTAAGTATTTACAATAGAAAGTTATTAATTAAAAAAATTAATTAATTTAAGAAATGGTGACCCAAAATACTGAATCGACCATCTATAGCAATGACCACCATCAGAATATGGAGCTATTTAACACTTTTTTTAAGTGTTTGCTCTGCATTTGTTTAATTACTATTGTAATGGATATTTATATTTTTTGTCCATCTAGGAAAAACCTGATGTAAATACGAGACGGGCCCTCGTCCTTTGTGCACTTCCTGTGCACCTGCGTGAAGATGCCTCCAAGTTCTTCAGGACCTGTAATGTAAGTGTACTGGCCTCACTATCAATCACTTTGCCTAGCTATTAAGTCAGCTTAAACATATGACATCACTCAAAGAACTCTAGGAGAACCAGGGGGGTATTCCAGAAAGCAGGTTATGTGAAAACTCATAGTGAACCCTGAGATGAGGGAAACTCTGAGTTATCCATTCCAGAGGGCTATTCCAGAACTCAGGACCAGCTCCTCTGCCTCTGTCGGACGTGGTGGAGGTGGAGGTGACTGTCACCACTTCATGTTCATCTACTCAGCAGGATGTTAGGAGACAGATGTGTGTTAAACAGCATCTGTTGGTGGTAAAAGCTACTACAAGTTAAAATATCCACTGAATAAATTTTTACTTTGTTTAATATGTGAAATAAAACCAAAGTGAGCAGCCATCGTGAGACTGTTTTTATATTTCATTTTCAGCCGATTTAAATGAAATAAAATAGCCTAAAATAAAATAAAACAAAACACTGAACAACATTCAACCACTTCCTCAAAGGCTAATATAAAAGAAAGTGATGTTAAATTCAAAATGAAAAGACGACCGCATCTAAAACTCTGTCAGTGATTTTTATTACGGCCGCAGCCAGAAAATGTCTGCTTCCTGTTTTCTCCCGTTGCCATGGTGAATCACAGTATCGGAGCTCCACTGATGATGGCTTTATACTAGTCGTCAGGCACGAGCTCAACTCAGAGTTAACATACTCAGAGTCGACTTACCTAACTCAGATCAGCTGTTCTGGAACCGAAAACTCAGAGTTTCACTTCACAGGGTAAGTCAACTCAGAGTTCAGGGTTAGGCTCAGAGTTTGTTGAACCTCCTCTCTGGAATAGCCCCCAGGACCCAGTTTACTAGAGTTGTTATTCTGCAAACTGACATGTAGAAAATACATAAATGAAAAGGTAAGTATAAAGCATTCCACTAAACAAAAAGTATGCTAACAGATAGAAGTGAAACTAACATAAGATATAAGCATATGTAAAGAAAATATTTTAAACATGTAGCTTAGTTGCAGTCTAAGTGCTAAGTGGCAGTAATGTCTAGACATCATTAGCATGATTTGTATCCTTGAGGGGCTGAACTCATTCTTGTATTATTTGTGTTTTGTAGTCAGCAGATGGTCCAGACCTCACTGACACTCCGGTGGCTCTCCTGACAGTCGCCACGGATGACACTACTGATGCGGCCCTCTTCAGCCCTGAGAGCATCTGTATTGTCGTGGAGGATGAAATACTTGTGGGTGGTCCCACAAATCTGGCTGACTCATTTCTCCTGCTCTTTGGGTACGTCTATGCACTAGACCTACAGTACCCAAAGAATCTCGAGCTTACATTCACATTTATCCAAAAAGTTGTGATGTGTCTTGAGGACAACAAACCACTGAAAGGGCGTCTGCTGACGCTGAAGAATGATTTGTTCAATGAGTGAATCACTCAGAATGGACTATTTGTTGAGCTGAGTATTGAGGAAGTTTTTTGTCTTTTTTCCCTCTTTACAAATGTAAGGATTTGCCTGTTCTACCTCAGATTTAAGATGCCTTTTAAAAAGCACATGTTGAATAAAAAAAGTTGTTAAATTGTGGTGTCACTTTCATGTTTTCTATTGTAATTGTGTAGTGGGCCGACATCAGTATTTCAGTTTGGAATTAATTTTGAGAGCATGTCCCACATTATGAGTTGAAAATTATTGAAAATTCTGAGTGGGTTTCCCACATTATATGACTTGAAAAATATTGAAAATTTTGAGTGTATTTCCCACATTATATGAGTTGAAAAATATTGAAAATTCTGAGTGAATTACTCCCTAATTTTAAGTTGGGGAATATCAATATTTATAAGATAACATTGAGATAATTTAAGTCAACTGTAAATGTAATTTTTATTTTATGTAAACTTAAAAATTTTAAAAACATCACTAAAATATTGTTGGGTAATCTCTTAGACAACATTTTTTGAGTTCTGTGAGGGTTAGGGTTTACAGTGTAGTGTTAACTAATACATAGGCCTGTTTAGGGTATCTTAAATCAAGGCATCATATGCTAGGTAACTGCACTAGAATCAATAAAAAGAGGGGGATGAAAATGAATTGAAATGATCCTGCATTGGAGGATTTCAAAACAAGCCTCAGTTGATAAAATGACAGTCAGCTGGATGAGATACATATTCTAGGTTCATTCAGAGGGTTGAACGGTGATTGAGCACAGAGGGGGTGGGTGGAGGGGGATCCAACAGAAAGTGTCTGCCCCCTGGGGCTCCCGCTGGGATAATCCAGCCTCGATAACAGGAATGAATTTTATTCTAATCTCCTTCTTATCTGCGCTGACTCCATTTGGATGTAGGTGAGACACATTTTCTCCTTTATGCACGTGAGGTTCAATTCACAAAGTCAACATGAATGTGTTTAAAGTTGTTAATTAAAAGCACACACGCGTCGGGCACACATGTGAACACACACCAGCAATACACAGTGCATAATCAGTATACCCTCTACGAAGCACAATCTCACCTCACACTATTGTCATTGATTCCCCCTCGACTCAAAACTCAGTTTCTCTTCTTGTTCCTGGGGTTGGCTGTTTGATCTTCACTGATGTATGTGCAGAGTATGACAGTAGAAGGATGTTTTCACATTCATCTACTGAAAGTGGAAAGTTTCTCTGAGCTCACTGAACATCTGATTTTAAGGGGTCAGCATGATTTGTGACATCACACATAGTTAGGAAGTCAGTCCTGGTCCAGTTTGCAACTTGTACAGTGTGATGTAGAAACCTGAACCCAGCAATACACATAGACTGAAAATTGACTTTACAGTGAAATAGGAGACATCTCGTGTCTAGCAGCAGAACTTTAGAAAGAAACAACAAAATCTGCGTATGTACAGATTCCGGAACTTTTGGGAGACTTATTTATCCACTTAAGTATTGATTTGGCAGCAGATCATAAAAAAAACAGACGATGGCTTAAAGTCTATGTCAGTTACAGTGACACAAGTTTTGAATGGGTTCCCATTGATAAATGTCACCACTGTCATTACGCAGCCTGTGCTAATTAGCTTTGAAACTGTGAAATTAATCACAAATTGAAGATACCACAAATTAATACCTCAATATCACTGATCACAAGTCTTTCCACATTCCTCTTATACTGTATTCCAACACTTATATCAACAGCCCTCATGCTGTTAACAGTGAGTGGTACTCCGTGAAAGTGGGAATAAACGGTGCTGTCCTCCTGTAAAATACACATGCAGAGTGAGAGATAAAAAAAAAAAAGAGGTTCCCCCATAAAGACTCTTTGCTTTTTGTATCTGGAGCGCATGATCATTTTGACTCACCTGCTTTACAGCTCAAATGTGTAAGTGTGCCATTTAGCAAGACCGCTTGGGCTATAAATTAAATGTTGCTAAAATCATACTCGCATCTATGGGAGGTATATATCATGCTGGGACAAGTAGAACACAGAGAGGAATATCTCTCTGGTACCAGCAGAGCAGCAATCAATGCCGGAATATCATACAGGTAGATTCCAGAGAGAACAGAAACAGTGAAAACCTCACACCAAATGTGCAAAGGTATTACAAAATACCTGCTATCATAATCTCCATTATTCTATTAATGGAGACTTGGGCGGACTTCTGATTAAAATGTCAGTGCCACGAAGGCAAAACCTCGCCGTGACCTCCCTGAATTTGAATTAATGAGATATTTAGACTGTGGTTTTCTTTCCCCACTGCCCCAAGGGCTACGTGATTATCCTAAGCTGTGGAGTACATCTGTGTCTATTAATTTTCATCTGACACTAAGTAGGCAGGCACATATTCGGCAGACATACTGGTCACACATAGTGGAGGCTTTGAACCCGCACGCTGTGGGTCAGCAGTCAGTTTGTTAAAGCTGAGGAACTCCTGAACTGATGGCCACTTTGACATTTCTGCACCCTGAGCATGGAGAAGTACTATAGCTTCTAGCCGACTTAATTAAGAAAACGTCTTGTCACCTTTTGAGGATTGTATTGCTTGGCAGTCATATGATTGTTACTTACATTCTTAGTTCACAGTGCTGCACTAAATTAATGATATGAGGAGAAGCTTCAAAGAAGCTGCTCTATACTGTACATCACAGAAGAACTTTTTCACATACAGAAGCCCATATAGTGCAGTAGAAACAGATCAATGTTGAGGTAAAACTGAGGCCATGGTGTGAACACAACCACAAGAATTCCATTGGAAAGCCCACATCATGTCTGTCTCCTCCATGGCACCTACAAAAATCCCAAATCACCTGTAAAACAGGCCCACCAAGGGAAATTTATCACAAAATGGCATCATAAAAAATTGGTTCTTGGAAGGAGTGACATCATTAACTCCTCCATTTGTCTTCCTGCGGAGGTCCTCCCACATAATAAGCCTGCAAGACAGCAATGTCAGACTGCAGTCAGCATATAGAGCCTTTTCTAAGTCATTATAGTGCATCTTTGTGATTCTTGTAACACACTGCAATGGTAAATGTTAATACATTATTAATGGATTTATTTTTCTCTTACATGAAGTCTGGAACAGTATGTGTTAATTTACTAATGAGGAGAAATAACAGCCACTAGTGAGAAATACAGCTGTGGTGTGTTTTAGAAGCATTGCTCAAAAATAGGGATGGAAAGATATTATCGCGTATCATGATAAAAACAGATACATGGTGAATTTCCAATATCCTTATAATCATGAATCAGGATAATCATGACTATCTTCACATAGTTTGACCTGAAAAAGCTATCTAGCTCACCATACAGTCCTGTATTGATTTCCTAATATATTTTAAACAAGGCGACAAGGGGGAGCCTGCATCTTTCCAGCCTGCATCTTTCCAGTCATTCCAAGTATGAAGTATATTTGAATGATTATCCTGATAATATTGTGCAGTTATTTTGGCCAATCATGACATGAAATTTTAATACACCAGCCAAATAATTCATTAAACATTTTTTGAGCCATCATAATGTAAATCAGAAAGGGGTACAATACGAATTAAAATTCTAAATGAAAGGATGAAACAATTAGAAGCCTGAACAGCAAAAAAAGTAACATTTCAAATCAGTGTTAGCAGTACAATCACAGCTAGAGCCATCTGCAGCCAAAAAAATATATAATTTTAAATCAATTACTCTACCCCTAGTAAGTGAGTTTGTGGGAATCTGAACTCAGAAACATGTAAGCCATTTCAAATTTGCCAAGAAATGCTGCCCAGAAGATGTCTTTACCCTGTAAGCAGCATGACAGTAGGGACAGGTCCAGACTCTGGTCCAGGCTGAGATGACTCAACAACTACTTGATAGACCGAGATAAAAATTTATAGAGAAATTCATTGTTCCAAGAGAATTAATCCTACTGATTTAAGTAATCCCCTGACCTTTCCTCTAGTGCCACTGTGACGTTGACACTTTTGGTTTTTAATTGAAAGGTTTCAACAACTATTGAATGGATTGTCATTAAATTGATACCCATGTTCATGTTTCAAAGATTTTGATCCTGTTTTCATCGAGGGGTTTGTAGACGGCTCATTTTAAAATAAAAAAAACACAACAATTCCTATTTTCAGGTGATTATACAATAACCAATACATAAATAAAATAAATAATAATAATAAATAAAACATGAATATTATATTCCATTTCTGCCAATAGAACCCAATGTTAAACACTGGACATTTAAGGTATCAGATCTCTGAGGCTATGCAATACTAAATTTAACTACAAAACTTATTTTACTTTTCAGTGACATTCATTTTTAAACTCTTTCCTAAAGTTATGCAATGTAGCTTTCAAGAGGAGATATGCCACAAAAGGTAACATGATCGTGTTTTTCTTTTGAGTCTTTTTGCCTCCTTACTTCACTGCTCACATACTGTACCTTATAGACTATTTTCGAAGCCATTAAACTTGTAACATGTAAAGCAGCCTAGTAAATGGGCCAAAACATGAGAATGATGGTTATTTAGATAAGAAGGCTGCCATAAAGCAAGTGAGCATTTTGTCATTGCAGAGAATCTCTCACTATAAGTTGTGCTACAGCAGATTCCTGTGTCATGTAAAATGCAGCAGTTCATCTATTTGTGATAGAGCTACAACTTTGATGTGTGTTTGTGCTGACTTTGCTTGCTTTACCTTCACTGTAAAACCTGTTAGTTCACTACTCAAAACATTATTGAAACTGATTACACCAAACATTTTAAGTAGAACTAACTTAATTTTGTAAGGTAAAAAACATTCTTGATCAAGCAGCTTAAGTAATTTTGAGTGGCACAAGTGTGATTATTTTATTTGTACTGTGAAAACAAAAAAAAAGCGTTAAAATAAATACTCAGGAATGTTTCTTTAACTTACAAAACTAAGTGTATACTAGTATGTGTGTTTGTGTATGTGAAAGTATTTATCCCATGTTGCTCTGGATTTGAGTGTGTGTGTGTGTGTGTGTGTGTGTGTGTGTGTGTGTGTGTGTGTGTGTGTGTGTGTGTGGTGTGTGTGTGTGTGTCTGCTGGGCTTTTCAGGTGTCAGAGAGATGTATCTCTCATCCTCTTGTTAATCAC